GGTGTCTTTTGAGGGGCAAAGGGGGGTCAGGTGAAGGGCAAAAGGATGTCAGGTGGGGACAAAAGGGGTGTCGGTGAGGGACAAAGGGATGTCAGGTGGGGGGGGGTTCAAGTGAGGGGGGGGGATGCAAGTGAGGGGGGGGGGGTGTCAAAATGAGGGAGGGGGTGTCAAGGGGGGTTGGGATGTTTGGGGGAGGGGGGGGGTAGGTCAGAGAGGACGGGGGTGTATATGAGGAGGTTGATAAATGTGGTTATCTAAGAGTCGTGTGTTCATCAGTCATCAACTAGATTATCCAATTTTGGTTTAATAAGAACATGTGCAACAGTTAGGTATCTTTTCGAAACTTTTTTCGCCTACAAAAAGTGGCTTCTTCAGTCGAATACGAAAAGTACACTCCTTAGCAAACAAAAGATGGTTCCTGAGTCAAAGCAGGGGGTTTGGAATATTTTTCAAAGTTTTAATGATTAAGTTATCGGGGAAACAAGCGAGCTTTTCTGAGCGGGCCTTGCTAGAATCCCCCCGCAGGGGTTTTTTGGGGTATGTGCCGGCCCGTCCACTGGCTTCCGGGGAAAGAAATCGTCAGGATATCCCTCAACCCGCTGGCAGTCGCAGACTCAAACCCAGCAATCTAAAAAACTTTCCGCCAACTAGAGTTGAGGAAAAGAGAGGGGTGGAAAACATAAAAAACATTTTAATGAAAAGTTTTAGATGCGTCTGTTTCCCCTCATTTACGTACAATTTTCCTTTCAGTACTGCGCATTGACCGATCTCGATATCGTGCCTGGGTAGACGAAACCTCCTTTTCCTCTCTCTCTTCTCTCTCTCTCCCCCAAATTATCATGACGGGGCTGCACGACATATCTGATATAGCTATCACGGGCAGCTTCATACCATAAAAACCCGCTTTTAAGGGGTCGTTTTCTTTCCCCTTAGAGGGAAAAAAAAAGTTTTCCGGGTTGTTACGGTGTAAGCTTGGGGCTCTATGACCCCAAAAAAAAAGTGAGTTCCAGAAACGATTTGCAATTTTGTTAATTAGGAGGGTCTTGATTTTGTCTGAAAACACGGTTTACCTTTTCTACTTAATGTAAGGGAAATAATTACTTGAAATTACAAGGTTTTTAAACCCGAGAGGTTATTCTTCAGTGTTGTTAACTAAAATACAATCTTCCCGTACTACTATTACACACTGAGGGCTATAACCCCCGTACATTAAGAGGTGTATATCTCTGAGGTTTTATATTTGGGTATATCTCTTTATATTTAGGTATATTTCTCAGAGAATATACAATTAGAGGTGTATGTCTCTCATGGTATACAGTGAGAGGTGTATATCTCTCTCAAGGTATATACACAAATTTGATGTATTTCTATCACGACATATATACTTAGAGATGCAGATATCTCAAGCAAATACATTAAGTGTTGTATATCAGTGTATATACATTGAGAATATATTTCTCAGTATATCTTTATAAAACACCGAGTGTGTATATCTCTCAGGGTATATACAATGTGGTGACTATCTCTAATTCTATATACATCGAATGGTATATACATTCCAGTGCACATACACTAAGAATTAATATAAATTCCTATCTCTGGAGTTAACGTGATGTTAATATCAATGTCCGGGTGACTGACAGCCTTAATGACCCTCGTACAGTAGATAGCCTTCAAACCACAAAAAAACGGAATTCACTATTTTCGGTAATAATTCATAAATATATTTTTTCCCTTTACCAGACCCTGGTGACCCGGGGGAAGGGGGTAGACGGGAGCAAGACACTGTTGCCACTCGTAATATATACACCGGGGTAAGGGTTAAACCCGTAGGGTTTACACAGTTCACGGAGGTATCAGGCTGGATCCAAATAAAGGGAGAGGAGGGGTAGCCCTGATTCCTTGGATCAAGAAGCGGACATAGTCCGCTTGGGACACACTTACCTCAGAACGTTTTTTTTGCACTTATCTCCCTCAACCGGTGAGAGAACATTGTAACGTTCAGACAGCGACGCCCCAGCCTCAGCAGGAACTGACGAAGTGGACGATAACTGTTATCACTGTTATCTTGACTCATCTCCGCCCACGCTGAGTCTCATCCTGTTTCTAAAAGGCTGTTTCCTTATTTCTCTCTCTCTCTCTCTCCTCTCTCTCTCTCTCTCTCTCTCTCTCTCTCTTCTCTCTCATCTCTCTACTCTCTTCTCTCTCTTCTCTCTCTTCTCTCTCTCTCTCTCCACATACATACATACATACATACATACATACATATATATATATATATATATATATATATATATATATATATATATATATATATATATATATATATATGTAATATATACATATTACACACAAATGTATATATCATTAATAGAACTGCGGCTTGGGCAGGACTCGATCCTGCGTTCCCATGCCCGGTCCTCTGAGAACCGAACCAAGTACGCATCACTCTCTCCACTGTCTTGCCTCTGGCAAGACAGTGACGGAGTGAATGATGATGAAAGTTTTTTTTTTCGTGCCTCCCTGCCTTGGTGGGAGACGGCCGATGTGTAATAAAAAAGAATAATAAAACTGAATGCTTGAGGATATGCATGTATGCATATGTGCATGTGAATGTATGCTTATGTGTATATCCTTATGTATACATGAACATATGAATTATTTAGACATACTTGGTGACAGGTTCCCTCAGAGTTATAAAAGAATGTCTTACAACCTTCAGGATCTCATCCACAACAGTCTACCAACTCCTAGACATGCAGGATGCCATCCACAACAGTTACAACAGTCTACTCACTCCTAGACATGCAGGATGACATCCACAACAGTCTACCAACTCATGAACTTCCAGGATGCCATCCACAACAGTCTATTAACCCTTAGATCTACAGGATGCCACCCACAACAATCTACTCCGTCGTGTCATTCCACTGGCACTACCTTGAGGGGTTATGTAGAGGATGCTAGGCACCTACACCAGGAAATCTGGTCGTGGAC